CATGTCACACAGCAGCATGGTATTACAATTATATTCGTTTGACATGTCAAGATTAGGAACGTCGTGGGTGGTTTTCCAGACGAATGGGGATGGACATGGCGCTGGTGTATTCAACACTTTCTTGCCATTTGCTAATTTCCAACACAAATTTGGGGAAAAGAAAGACATAAGATTCAATTGTGAGATGCAAGTGTCTTTTTGTGAGAGTTAATTACTCATTGTTCAGATGAAATTTCTCATGCATTGACCATTATTTTTTTTCTCCTTGAAGCGATTGCACATGAACCAAAAAAATATGAGCAAATGATGAAGACAATCCGTTAGATAAACCGGGCGGGGACAGTATGGGCTAAAGGTCAAGATTTGCACATATGGACATTTTATATGGACAACGAGGTCGAATTCGACATTTCAAATACCGACCATGGCCAAAGTATAAATAGAGTGTACAAGGGCCCTAGAGCGATGCCTATTTCTGTCATAGTGGAGATGTCATAATGGAAGGTGAGCGAGTGGCTTGTGAAGAGACTTCAAGAAGCAATATGGAGGGAGCATGTTGGTCATGCAATAGCACGTCATGTTTTTTTTATCAAATGCAGAAGAACCAAGAAAAATCAAATAAGCATAGAGTTGTTCTTTTAAACCGCAATGAATGTATTTTTGCTTTCGAAACAGGTATATAGGGCGTGACTCGCTAAAACACAACTTCTTACAATGGCCAAGTGTAACCAATGAAAATGATTGTAGTATAGTGGCATAAATAGTAAATATCGAATCCACGACTCTCTAGAGTTACTATTACTCAGCTTCGGTTCATTATCTAGCAAACCAGATTAAGATTTGATTAACTAAACTACTCTACAAGCTAAACTAGGTAAAACTACTAACTACATGTTGGGAACTCACTTATGTATGATTCCCCCTAGCTCCCCAATTAGGTCCAAATTGTAATTTCCTTCGGTCGTTTTACTGTTGAATAAACTGCGAAAGATCCTAAATTAGCTTGGAATCTCTTAAGCTAACCAAACCCTCTTAGACATATTATCCGGCAGCGACTAGCCTTCACCTAGATAGAATGCTAAGGCGATTCACACAGATCTCCACTACGTGGAATGAATTCCAGTACAAAGTAGTGAATTGACTGACTCTCGCACAATCAATTCACTCCTATCAATTGAAGAAGCTCTATCAACCTAATCAGATTCTATATATCATAAGTTAGGAGAATGTGATCAGGATTCAAATGACTTAACAAATCATGCCTTAATTGATTAAAATCAAACAATATAGAATTCAAAGGTTCAAACAACAAAGATCCTAACACATGGAAATAGGGTTCCTCAAACCTAAGTGAAGAAAAGTTACTCCATAGAGAAGAGAGAGAATGCAGAAATCTGATCTAGATCTTCAATCTCCATCTCCAAGCTTGATTATCGATCTCCAATGGCGAAGAAATCCTCCAAAATAGCTCCATGAATGTTCCCAAGTCACTATCTCTCTAGGGTCCATCCCTTGGGTGTTTGGGAACCAAAACTCAGCTCCCCCCCCCCCCTCAAAAATTGCGGAAAACTGACTTATACCCGAGCTGGGGGCAAAAACACAGTCTTGTTTCTTATGTCGTGTTTCAGCCCTTCCCTTGTTTCTTCTAGGCAAAAAAAAAAAAAAAAAAACGGACGCCGGAGGACAAAACACGACCGTGTTTCTTCCTCCGCGCCTGTTCCATTGTCTTAGATGCTTCGTTTCTCCCTCGTCCGAACTTCGGATCAGTCGTCATTTGATCCCAAACGCCCGTACTGTCGTCCTCTTTCTTTTTATGACAAGTTTGCATGATCCTTTGTCCATAAAATGCGGTATAAATCCATTCTTCTTTAGGTCATGCCCGAGTTGCTTACATGATTCTTTGTCCATAAAATGAGGTATAAATCCATTCTTCTACAGGTTATGCTCAAGTTTCTTCTCTCGAATCTCCAATTGATCTCCGATTGACTTGAAACATGTGCCTATGCTTCACTTTACGTGCTAGGACATGAAATGTGACAAAGGAGCACAACCTAGGGTAAAATAGGCCAAGAAAGCACAAACTCGAGCCAAAACGATCAAGAAACGAGGGTGCAAACATGTGAAAATACGACGTTATCAGGGTGGAGGATGACGTGGGCACAATCTTCAAACCGTTACTGTACACGTAGAAAGTCGCACTGGGGAGTGTGCATGCCAAAAGTATCAAACACTAGAGTACATTTTTCTGATGCAATGCCAGTAGCTAAGTCAATAACAATCAACCCTTCCAGTCTGGTGAGTCCTTACTTCACTGAACAAGCAATCGAGAATTCTTACTCGGCCAGTTTCAGCCCCCTGCTAAATGAAGCTTATTGGCCTTTAGACAATGGGAAGTTGATTATCCCACCGTTGCACCTAAAGCGCACCAAGGGTCGTCCTAGGACTGAAGGATTCACAATGAGATGGATCAATCGCAATGCCTGAGGCTAGGCCCAAAGCACTGCTCCAAGTGCAAACAACCTGGGTGAGCCCCCAACTCTTTGTCCCGATCGCGTCCCACTCACCGAGTAGCAATGGCAACCACATGCCTTGAATCCACCTGTTTGCTTTGTCGGGGAACATAAATCCACCAACCAAACCAATGAGGTAGATGTGTACATACCGCTCCACTTGATCTTCTGGAGTGTTTGGGCCGATTTCAATACATTTTGGATGTGAGCAACGAGCCACTGGATCGATACTTGTCCCTCATTCAACGGTGGATGCCCCTATCCTTGGACTAGAGTGTGGTCGGCATGTCGAAGCCCAGACGATCAAGAATCAGCGGCCCCCAGCCTGCTTGGGGTTTGGTCGAGTGACCGACGATGGCCTCTCCAGTGATCGGCAGCCTGGTGAGGATCGCAACATCTTTGAGGGTGATCATCATTTCCCCCCTCCAGAAAGTGGAACGTATGGGTTTTAGGGCGCCATCGCTCTGCCATTGCCGTCTGCAGATCATTGTCGATCTCAATCCGCATGAAATGCCTCACCATACCCAACCCCGTCCTCTCTAGAGATGGCGAGAGTCGATCATGCCGAGCGAGCAAGTTTGTGGTCCCTCTATGAATGACGCGAAGAAGTGATTCCTACAAAAAAAAACCCCAAGTTGTTAGTCAAAGGAAAGAAAAATAAAACCTTTTAAAATAATGAAATAATTAAAAAAATATAAGGTACGTAGTGTTTACCGGATTGTTGTGCCAAATTCCACGGGAGCAATGTGTTTCTTGCTTGGATAAATACTTCGTATCTCTTGGCCCATAATGGATATACAATCGAGGATCGTATATCTCGGCACCGTAGCCACGTCAGGGTTCGTCCACGTCAGCGATCCGCGTCCCCCAATCCTTCACTGTAGCCATCCGATGCGATGAAATGTTCCCTGCTGTGGACAAAGGCGGTGATTACTTCCCCGCGTTTGACTAAAACGATGATTGCTTCACCGTTGTTGTCTTCAGTGGTGATTATATTCACTATGTTAGACGATGGCGATGAATGTCAAACATGTGTACTTTGGGGAATTTTTTTATAACTTACGTATTTTGGAAAAAAAATTAACAACTAGTGTACTTTGGGATTTTTTCCCATTTATACTAGGGTGGTTGTGAAGAATTTTTTTTCCATCTAATACATACCAAGCTACAGAAATTTTATGCTGCTGATATAATTTTAACATTTTTTTTAATAAACTAAAGTAATACTAAATAGATATGTATACTAATATATAATGAAGAACATCGATGGTGGATCATCCTAGTCGAGCTCTAACAGGGCTTCACCTACTCTTTATAGATTTTTAACTCGTGTCCAGTGGGGCAAAGTGTTGGTAAAAGGGTAAAGATGTTTCTTAAGTTCTAGGCATGTGTCTATATTATACAAGTTACAAAAGGGGTTTTCTGCTATGTTTCCTCCTAAAGTCGGCCAAAACCTTTCTTTTACGACTAGAACTCGGATTACTTTGAGTTGTGGACGAAGTTACTTCCAAATGAAGTTTCCTAGAGGCTTTAGGATTGGCGGCGGTGCCCCGACGGTTGGACCCACCACTCTTGATTTTTCAAATTGGTCGGGCTCCTTCCTTTCGGGCTCATGGACTTGCTCCTCATATTTCAGCTCGTTTGGAATTTGTTTGACCTGTCTGCTCTCCTAAAATCTAGCATATGGTCCATATCTCTTGAGCTTCCAGTGTCATAATCCATCTTTGTTTGGCGTATGAGCTTGTATCTTCAACATCTTTCTTATCCATTGGGTCCCTTAGTGATCCATATTCATCTTGAGTTGTATATACCTCTAAAAAGCACAAAACAACACCTAAAAGGCATAAAATGGTACAAAACACACTCAAGGTCTATCTTAGACTCATTATTCAAATAGTTATGAATTTCGTATAAAATATAGTCAAAACCCTAAATATGCATCGATAGAAGGGAAAATATATCAACTATGGGAGTCATAATTAAAGCATAAATTGCAAGGTTGGTCACTGAAAGTGCTAAAATATTCATCTTTTGTCACTAAAAGAATTTTATTCCATTCATGGTCACTAAAAATGGTTACGTTTCAAGACTGGTCACTCTCCGTTAGTTTTCATTAACACCGTTAGTGGTTTGCTTACGTGGCAACTAGAAATGCTGATTCATCCAATTGACCTGCCACGTCATAAAGCCGGACATGCCACGTCAGTTTTACCCACCACGTCAGATTTCCTAACCCATGACCCAACCCTCCTCATTGACCCGGCCGACCTAAATATCCATTGGCCCAAATGAAAACCCCATTTCGACCCACCCTCCCTAGTCCCTACTTCTCCGTCGCCATCGACCTCTAATCCCCACCGTCGCCATCAACCATCGCCAACCAATCTCTGCCAGGCCTTCAAGAGTAGCCGCCCGATGTGTATTCCACCCAATGTCACCAAAGGTGGGAACTATATAGTCGTGAATGTTGAGTTTTATAGCATTGAAGATCTAGAAACTCCATCGACGGTGACCAAAAGGACATGGAACAAGGAGCTTTAATCTTCCAGTTCTAAATCCCAGCGGAGGGGTGCATCCAGCTTTGATTGCCGATGCTTCTGGTGACCAGCTCTTCCTCGAAGCCGATCGCTCCTTGCCTCCTCCCGTCTTTACTCTCAAATCCAGGTACTCCCAAACCCAAAAGACGGCGGAACCCCAAAACTGAGCCACTCCCAAACGTGGCGGCGCTGCTGCTTCTATTCGAGAACACAGATCATCAACGAACATATCGAAGATGGAATCCACCGCCCAGATTTGTCGTTGGCGAAGACAGAGGCTAGCCACCTCACTTGGATTCGGGCCTCGACTGTCTCTTGAGTTAGTTTCACTTGTCGAGTCTGAAATCGACGAGGCAAAGTGGCGATTCTTCCAGATCCAGCTTGACTAGAGAAGGTGGCAGGATATTCTTGAAGGTCCAATCGGCGTCAGCGTGGTGCGGGACTGGAGTGCGGAAGTGAAGTTGTCGATGGTTGGGGAGACAGAGATGATAACAACAACACTTTCTGGGAGAGACAGATGACGATTTCCCCTTGACCAGGGGGTCCCATCTTGAGAAGATGATGAGTAGCGCCGGAGGGAGGTCGGGCGACGGCGAGGAAGAGTTGTTGGGAAGGATGTTTGGGCAACGGCGAGGAGGAGGCACGACACAAATAGAGGAAGAAGAAGAGGGGAAAGGTTGAGAAGAGATGGGGGAGATCGAGGGATGTGGAGAGGAATTAAAGAACTGGGTTCCTTCAAAAACAATTTGGTCAGGTCATGGGTTGGGTTGGGTCATGTCAAAGTGAGGTGAGATGAAAGAGAAAGAAGAGAGATTTGAGTTGGATCACGGGTTGAATTGGGTTGAGTTATGCTCTGGTACTGGTCAAAATTGGATGAATCAACATTTTTGGTTGCCACATCAGCAAACCGCTAACGGTGTCAATGGAAACTAACGGAGAGTGACCAATCGTGAAACGTTAACCACTTTCAGTGACTACGAATTGAATAAAATTCTTTTAATGACCAAACGTGAATATTTTAGCACTTGCAGCGACCAACCTTGCAATTTATCTGATAATTAAACACTATAAATTGAGTGTCATCATTTGTCATGTTGATTGTGATCAGATTCTCAATGAGGTGATTAATGTTATCCATCTATCGTCTTCTAACCAACTAGTTGATTTTCTTACAAAGTCTCTTTTCGTGATTGTTTTCAGAAACTTTAGTCCAAGCTGGGTTATTTAGACATCTACACGCCAGCTTGCGGGGGTGTTGTCCGAAGGTGAAGATTGAGGACTTGATTGTATGTTTGAAATAATGTAGGATTAATTGTGTAATAATTATTTACTTTGTGCTTTAATTTTAGGACTTTAGCCTTAAGTATATAATGAGTGATTGTAAACGAACAATGTACTTTTCTTTTACAATTAATAAAATTATTTCCGTATCGTCCGGATTCCTCTTTTCTCCGGTAGTGATGGCAATGAGGCGGGCAGGGCGGGTATCTAAATACCCATGTCCCGCTCCACGCTACTGCGGGTCGGGGTGGGTAATACTTGCACAGGTATAGGGCGGGGTGGGTCGATCCACTCTTACATTTTATTTGAAAAAAATACACGCAAAGTTTTACTTTTGAAGATAAAAACGAATGAGAAAACACTTTATGAATGAAAAATAGTGATAGTGGAATGAGTAATTGAGTCTAACTAGTTGAAAGATCGACTGTAACTAGTTGAAGAAAAGGCAAAGTAGGAAAAATATGAATTGATACTGTAAGAAATTGAGATAGAATGGGCCAAGAACGAAGCAAAGCGGGTTGGAAATAGTTATCCATGCCTCGCTCCACGCTAATGCAGGTCGGGTAATATCCGCCCCATCACGAGTCAGATCGAGTAATACTCGCGGAGCAAGTTCAAATTACCATCACTATTCTCCGACGATGATCAAGAATCCTTGTGTTGTTTCGGAATCTATGATTGGAACAAACCAAAGAATCTTTAGAGAAGTTTACCAAACGCCGGTATATACGGTTCGATGTATTGCTTTTCAGTTTGCAACATGAGATCGGTGGTGCATTGTAATATTTCAAAGGCAGAGTCAGAGAGTCCTTTCTGGTTGCGAAAGTTTATAGCCACCTCTCCACAGGCAAAAGAGTTTCAGTTTAACAGTAAGAATTTGACGTTCTTGACTGAGATATTTCTGGGTGTTTTTTTTTTTTTTTGCATCTTGCATTTTATTCTTTCTTTTCTCCTTTAGATATTCCTTCTCTTATTATTGTTTCATGCTCGACATTAACAGTTAATTACATTAATCAATTCAATATCCGAGTTGGAATGGTAAGAGAGGAATAATCTTCAAGCTTTGGGAGAAACTTTCTGTTTCCTTTTCACATACTCTCGAGAGTTGGAGAATGAAACGTTCCGTTAAATAAAGCACGATGCATGAAATGCATACATAATCACTCCTATTGTGTTTTAAAGTACAATTTTGAAATTGTACTATAATTTTAAAAGGGTAAATACAATATATTATCCACAACTATTATGAAGCGGCGAATTATAGCCGCAATTATGAAAATTCAAATTATTAGCCATAACTATTGTTGCGGGTCAAGATATGGCTAACTGTCTATTACTTTTATTGAATTTTTAACTTAGAAGGTTACATCATCGGCCACGGCAACAGCCACGTCGGACTGCTTTTAATTTATAACTTTGAAACATAAAAGTTTAGTCAGTATTACTAACGAAATTGTTAACAAATAGTTAACGTGTGGCTAATAATTTGAATTTCCATAGTTATGGCTATAATTCTCCACTTCATAATAGTTGTGGCTAATATATTGTATTTACCCATTTTAAAAGTACAAATTGAAGTTGTACTTGTACCATAAGAGAATTTGACATTTATGTTATGGTACAACTTGAAATTGTAAAGTTGTATCATAACATAAACGTACAACTTTATTTTGTATCATAAAGAGATTTTACAAAATAGTGTCGTAACGATAAGGATACAAACTTCAAGTTAATGTTTGCATACCACTGGAAATTAATCAATGTAATGTGTAATGTATACCCCATGGCCGGCGGCCGCTGCATCAATAGTACGTCGACACCATTGCTGTTATTAATGTTGCAGACCATATATATATATATATATATATATATGAACGTCTTAATTAGACCCACAAAAGGAACACATAAAGGAAATATACCACATGGTCCAAAAGGTCATAGGATTCTGTTGTCTGTTCTCCATAAGATACGTACGAACACACCGAAAAGAAGATGGAGAGAAAGGCAACTGATCTCATCATCGTGCAACATGCATCTACCTCTAAGTCTATATAGAGAGAGAGACACTCACATTTTTTCAACGTCTCATTGACTAATCAATCATAAGTCCAAATTATATAAGTGGTGGGTAGGTGGTTGGGCTTTGACCAAGATTCCCAACATACTTGAGAAGGTCCCGGCCCGGGGAATTCTTGAACCGGCCGGGGCCCCATCTGTGTATTGGCTTTAATTTGGATCAGCTTTATTCATTCAATGTTTATGAGTTAGAGAAATCTTTTTGCTTTTAATGGAACATAATTCCAACCTCGGGATGATTATCCCGATTTGATTAAGGCGCAAGTTTACGTTTTAGAAAATGGCCAAGTTCCCTAATGCTTCTTCTAATTGGAGATCAGGAAATGGCGGTGGGCCTGTGGGATGCTCGATTTGGAAGCGGATTATGAAGGATGAAACATTGTTCTGGAGGTATTCGTATATTTTTCCCGGTGGAGACGCGTGGGTATCGTTTTGGGATGACTGTTGGATTTCGGGAACGATTCTGAAAGATGCTTTTTCTAGAGTTGCGGCTGCCACTATCCAGCATGATGCTTGGGTGTCTGACACTGTATCCTTCGAAAAAGAGAGAGTGGGGTGGGATTTTCAACTTTATGTTACGTTAAGGGATGGGGCTGAGAGTGAAAGAATTGATCTTATGCATAAACTGTCACTGTTACCTCTTGGGTTTATTTCTGCAGGGCCTGCAAAACTCATTTGGAGTCTGTGTTCGAGTGGCGACTTCAGTGTGAATTCGATGTACAAATCGCTCAACCTTGAGAGATTTCCTGGCTCCAATGATTTCCCGTTTAAGGTGGTTTTTCCCATGAAAATTCAAGCATTTCTGTGGCTTCTTGTGCATGGTCGAGTTCTCACCCATGATAACCTGAAAAGAAGGGGCTGGTGCATTGCGAGCAGATGTGCTTTGTGCATGAAGGCGGAAGAAGACATAAATCACCTGTTCTGGAGATGTCCCTACAGCAGCAATATTTGGATTGCTCTGCAGCAGGCGGTGGAGGTCTCTGGTCCCTTTCCTGAAGATTTTGGCTCAATCATAAAAGGATGGACGTTCTGGAATAATAGCTCCTGGAAAAACAGAATAATTCATGGTGCTTTACATGCTTTCTCCTGGGAGGTTTGGAAAGAAAGAAACGCAAGAATATTCCAGGGCAAGTGTAAATCTTGGCAAAACGTACACATTCCATGTCATTTGCAGGATCCTTCTCAATTGGGTGAATGCTCTCGGCATCATGAGTGCGCGTGGTCGCGAAGAATGGTTGTCTCTAACGAAACATATTTGTCCTATTCCCGTGACTAGCGGCCGTCAAGGAAGATATGATAGCTTGGAGGTGGATGCGGGTTAATGTCTAATATGAGTCATTGTTGTTCTCAATGGTCTCGTTACCGGATTGTTTCTTTGTGATTGTTTAGCCTAGTCTATTCTGTAAGTCGCTGGGTTTTCTTCGGCGTGGAGGAGTGGTCTGATCCGCTTAGCATGCTTGTTCAGTTGAGTGGCTGATTGGTAGCTTGCCCTCTTGTTAGCTCCACCGGCTTGTCCTGACTTTTTTTCTTGTTTTTTCGATTAATTTAATCATTCACCATTATATAAAAAAAAAAGTTTACGTTTTAGAAGATTTTGGATTCCAAATTTTGATAGTTCTTTTGTTATTCCAGTAATTAATGACTGCCGGCAATGCTGTTATGCAAGCCTAAACCATTTTCATAAACTTGCCGAGTTTCACAACAGTCAAAATCTGGCCGGTTTTTAATTACAAGCTTCTCCCTGAAACAAAATAAAAAAAAGTCTTTCTCTTTGGTATTAATATTACATGCTGGTTTATGTAGGGGCGGAGCTAGGATTCAAAAGTAGGACATGATTTTTCTTCAGAAATTATTGCAAAGCAGATAAAGAAA